TAACAGTCCAAGTGTTACTTCACCATCTTAGGTTAGGCTTCTCATCTCCCCCATTTTCTATGCAACTAAGTCTCTCAAATTGCCTCTTTGCAAATTTTTTTTTTTTGTTTTGTTTTCCTGCTTAGATTTTTCATGAAATGGTATTTTATGCTTTTTCCACAAAATGCATATTTTCCAACCATTTTGTTAGTTCCATGAGCTGCCTCAAACCCTTCCAATCAATTCTTATTCTGAATTAGTTGGTTTTTGTTGTTTGCAACTGAAATCTCTGATAGCTACAATGAGGAAGAATGTGACTGAATTTGTGGTCAGATCATATTGAATCAGAATCTTTGGGAGATCCCCAGGTAATGTTCTAAAAACTGCAGAGGTGATTCTGTTTCCTAGGGAGGGTTCTTGGATTAATGTGATTATTAATACACTTGATAGAGCAGTGGTTGTACTTTGGGAATTTGGAGTCAAAAGCTCAGTTCACTCTTAGTCCTAGCTCTTTTAAGGCTGATATATGACTAGAAGTTTATATATGTATACATATTGTTATTGAAATTATGTTATTTTATGTTTATGTTAAATACATATTATTTTGATACATATTCTTATATATATTGTTAATGAAATATTTAATTGATGATTAAGTTTATATGATGGTTAGTTTTATATAAATTGTAAAAGTAAAACTTTCTTTGTACATCTGTTTTCCCCATTAGAATGTGAGCTTCTCAAATGCAAGGATTGTATACCTTTTCATTTGTATTCCCCAACATCTAGCAAAATGTCAAGAATAAATAAGTGTTCAATAAATGTTTATAGGATTCCCATCCAACAATATATCACAAGGGCAAAGTACAACTATAAACCTCTACAATAATTTAAAATAAAAAAGACATGTACTATAAAATGGGCATGATGTTTTTTACACTAATAAAAGGAGCTGCAGTGTTTTATAAAATATACAGAGAACATAAACAATTACCATTCAACTTTATTACAAATTTGACCTAAAACTCTAGTAGGTCCCAGAATAACTTTGACTATTAAAGTAGGATTAATATTGGAAGGTAAGAGAGACAGTGATTATTAAGAAGCAATTTTGAAGCCTAAAGCCTCAAGTTAGAAATTAAAGAAGAAAGGTTACCTGAAGAAAAATACTAATATTTAATATTTAATATAGTAGGACCAATATTTAGACTTCTGTTATAGTATTGAATCATTTGGATGGAATAGTTTCAGTTCTTAAGAATAACTCATGATGGAACAAAACATATTTCTTGTGACTCATGGTTTTTCACAAAACTGAATTCTGTCCATAATTAGGTAGTTGGTATTAATGAAGGCTGATATCAAGACCAAACATTTTGATAGAGCCAGCCTTATGCCCTTGAGGAACGATACTTTTTTTTTTTATTGGATACTTTTGACTTCTTTGTAAGAGCCTTTTCTGATACTTGATATTTTCAAGCTGGTTCAGCTCGTCTCTAATAAAAAAAAGTACAAAATCAAATTACAGACTGCGATTAGGCACGAGAACGTAACACACTCCACCAATTAACACTGATTTATTGAGAAAGCTTAGGTAGCTCCAAGTGGCAAAGGCGATCCCAGGTGATTTCCTAACCACTGAAGAAGTGGAGTGTAATCTAAGCCTAACAATTAGCATGAAGGAAAGGATCCATTCCTGCTCTTCAGAATTTGGACTCCTGCAGGTCCTAGAGGCGTGATATCAAGTGTCACTTTCTCTGTGGAAAATTCACAGAGAATTTTGTGTTCTGCTATGTAATAATATCCAATTCACTTCAAATCTGCTCTTCTGCTACCAAGAAATATTTGAAAAGGAGGTATAATCACAGTGCAGAAAGAAAAGTCCTGGGAAGGAGTGGCAAAGAGAGAGGAAGGGACTGCCATGTTTTCCCCAAGCCAGAAACTGGGCCTGCTCTCAGCTCTTCAGGTTCTCACTGAGGCCAGAGGAAGGACAGAACTTTGACAGTGGAAGACTCACGAGTTCCATGAAGCAGGGATTCTGGAGCTGCTAAGAGTTTAGTCCTTTTCTGTTTCACCAAGATGTTATAAAAGTTAAAGAATGAATGAAAATATTTTTATTCCCCTTTAGGATTTGACTGTAATGCAATTCAACAACCTCTCCGAGAGGCTCCTGGGAGTAGAGAACTGTGTGTGGGGTACAATGATGGCTTCCATGTTCAGGGGTGGCTTGGGGCAGAGGGACAGAGCAGGGACCTGAGGCAGCTTCCCTCCCAGCTCTCCCACCATCTGGCTGGGCAACCTTGGGCATGTTGCCTACCTCTTGGGGTCATCTATATTTTCATATCTAAAACACAAATACCAATACGTACTTTTTAAAGGTATTTTGGAGGATTACAAGAATTGACATATGTAAAATACTCTCCAGAATGGAGTCTGTGCCCATGGATCTGCTCTCCTTCAGAGGCTGTTTCTTTAAACTTCTTTCTGTGTTAGTTTCTTTCTTTCTTTTTTTTAATATTTATTTTTAAGTTGCAGTTGGATACAATATCTTTAACTAATTAATTTATTTTTATGTGGTGCTGAGGATGGAACCCAGGGCCTCGCGCGTGCTAGGTGAGTGCTCTAGGGCTGAGCCACAACCCCAGGCCTCTGTGTTAGTTTCTAACATTACTTTCCATACCTGCTTCTTGCAATGGCTAGAAACTATTGACAGAAGAGGAGAGAAAACCCAAATTCCATGGGAAGGAACTCTATTGTGTGTACCACACCAGGAGCTTTGCATAAGCAGGTTCTGTTTGAAAAGGGGACTGAGTGTGGAATGTGGTCGGCCACTTTGGAAGGAGGAGGCACCAGGGAAGGGCTGGGTGTTCTGATACGACCCTAGCGGTTCTGGATTGTTACAAGGGGCACAATCTACTTGGAAGGCAGAACAGGTGTAGTGCTGAGGGAGCTTGTGGACGAAGAGACCATGGTTTCCCACTCACCCCACCTGGGAATGTGACAGGTGCAAGGGATATTTGGGCAGAGGTATGTATTATCAAAATGTGAAACCTGGTTGGGAGCAGATTGTGTGAGACCGTGGATGCCTAGGATTTGAACTTTATTACACTGACCCTGAGGACTACCGAAGGTGTTTGAACACATTGATGTGTTGTGGGTATGTTTTACAGTGTCTCTGGAGCTGTGGGAAGGACGGAGGGGAGAATGATAACAAGCTTGAACTTGTCTTAACACCCAAACTCATCCTCAGGTTTGTCTTCCAGTACCTCAGAACTGCCAGTGAGGGAGATAAAAACAGCAATAACAAACATAATAATAAGCCCTTACACAGCATCTCCTACGTGCCAGCCACTATTCCAAGCACTTTACCTGTCCTGATCCCTTTAGTCTGCAATATAACTCTACGAAGTAGGTGCCCTTGCTCTGTAGATAAGGAAACTGAAGGTCATGGCAGAGCAGGGTTGTGGACTCGCTGCATTGGGACTCGCTCCCACCTGGCCTCTGGAACCTCCATTCCAAGGGGCCTCTACGGCAATGCCTGGTGCTTGCAATAGAATAGGTACAAGGAGTAGAGGGAAGGACAGAAAAAAGAAGGAGGATGTCAAGAAGTGAAAGGAACGGACATCAGAGTAGAGAGCACCAGAGAAAATTAAAAACTGTCCCCGAGGCACCAGTGCCAAGAGGCTCGAGGGGTCCCTAAGGAAGAATCTTAGGTACCACCCAGCCTTAGCCTGGCCAGAAGCTCTGTACCCTCATAACAGAAAGCTTAGGGTTTCTGGAACTGAGTTCATTATCTAAAGCAAATATTTAAGGAATGATGACTCTGAAAACTGTTGTGATCGAAGTAAATAATCAGAAACAGCTTTGCCTGCCAAATAGATTGTACAACACATTACTTTGAAAAACTAGCAATTTAAAGAAGTGAAATGGACCGTGAAAATAATTAAATGGCCCGAGTTTCCTATTTAGAAGGAAGAACTCCGTAAGTTATTTAAGGTACTTCATGATCAGATCCGGCTTCTCTTTTGATAGTACCTCCCAGGACAATTAGGCAAAACCGTTTGCTGTTCCCCAAACCACACTCACTCCCCACAATGCACCCCCATATTCTATTATGAAAGCATAGACCTTATCCTGCTTGTCTTTCCAAATGCACTCTCTGCCTTCCTGCTGCCTCTTCTTGTCCAGGAAGCTGACCTCTGTGCCTGGGTCAACAGGCCCAAGTGCCTTCTGGCTTCTGGATGGCCTCAGCCAAGGACAGTCCCCACAGGCACTTGGGCAGGCTGATTTTACCCCACTGTGTTCACTGTGGGCCCACCTGGGCTGGCCATCTCCTTTGACTAAGGTTCCTTGCCCCTCACAAGGGGGCTTCTCTTAAGGACTCTCATGTGGGTTTCAAAATCATTCCTTCCCCATGGTCCTTTGGGCCTAGAGATGGTGACAGCTCAACTGCTACTAACCCTGGGCTATTGCATCATTTCTGGTAGTTCCCTATACTCCTCCCACCACCCCCTTAAAATAGATCTTTGTTAAACTGTCTTTGGAATTTCTTATACCATCACTTTCCTTTTGGGTATGTTTTTCTACTATGGTACCCTCTGTCCACAGGACTTCATGAAATTTGATGTTTTACCCCTTGGAAGCCACAGCTTTGCATACACGTTTTAAGTCTGTCCCTTAATGAAATCTTAGTCTGGAGGACACAGACTGGACTTTATTTGTTTGCTGTCACCCTAACCCAATGCAAGAGCCCAGCAGGAATACTCCATGAATGTTAAAAGAAGGGATGAACGGCAAGGACACAAACAAGAATATTATCCCATCATTTAAGTTTCTCTCATGTTTGCTGATCTGTTACTGTTATTTTAACATTAAAGCTGAAGTTCTTTCACATTAGGGAGAAGGGCATACTTTCCTACTGGACCCTGAAGCTGCTGTGTCCGACCTGATGTGCGTCTCCTCTCCTCCTCTCACATGGGTTCGAAGTGTGCTCTGATGCTGTATCTCCATACCTGTTGCAGGCCTTTCTCTGTGAAGCCCACGGATGGAATTCTTAACGTGGGGGAGTCCACGCAACTGGAAGTAGAGTTTGAGCCGCAGACCATTGGCAATCACAGTGGGAGGCTTGTCGTGTGTTATGACACAGGTATGGGCTATTCTCCATTTAGAATTCAACACATTAAGAAAGGTCAGGTGGGAGATGTAATGAAGATCAACTAGAAACAGTATTTGACTGTATCAGAGTAAGCTAAGATCCACGAGGTAAAGAACAGAAGAACAAATGTCTTCATTGGAAAAGATGTTGAGCCAGATATAAATCTCATCTATTCCCCAGCGCTTGAAAGCCTGAGGAATACTGTGCTCAGGAAAGAAATTAGACCCAAAGTTATACAGGTGGGTGAGGCTAGATCCATGTGAATGAAAACTTGAATTAATGGATACTCCCATGGGTTTTCCATTTGACTTACTGTTGTATTTGTGTAACATTTTTAAAATATATGTCCAAGCTCAAAACGTTTTGTATGTGCCCATTAGTCACCTAGGTAAGATCCAGTTACTTCAGTCTTTAGAACATGCAGACATCTTACTTAATAACTATAGGAATGTAGGATGGTAACCATCACCACTAGCATTTTCTTGGCCACACCTATGTAATCATGAAATCACATTATTTTTGCAATTGTTTAACTTATAAACAGTAGCCTGCATGGGCATTATGCCATCTCAAAAGCTCATTTTCAAATTAATATTTTATCATTCCCTTTTCTTACTTTATGATTTTTCTCATTTGTTTCTCATTTCGTTTTTTAAAATTTGTTTTAATTAGTTATACATGACAGTAGAATGCATTTATGCACTTTGATGTATCGTACAGAGATGGGTATAATTTCTCATTTTTCTGATTATATATGTTATAGAATCACATGGGTCATGTAGATATATATATATATATATAGATATATATATATATATATATATACACATACATACATACATATACATATATACATACATACATAAAATAATAATGTCTGTTTCGTTCTACTATCCTTCCTATCCCAATGTCCCCTCCCCTCCTTTCACTCCCCTCTAACTAATCTAAGGTAACTCTATTTTTCTCTAGTACTCACCCCCTTATTATGAATTAGCATCCACATATTAGATAAAAATCAGACTTTGGTTATTTGGGATTGGCTTATTCCACTTAGCATGATATTCTCCAACTCCATCCATTTACTGGCAAATGCCATAATTTCATTCTTCTTTAAAGCTGAGTAATATTCCATTTAAT